TGTATGTATGTATGTATATATGTATGTATGTATCTATCTATCTATGGCTTAATTCCTCAACTATTTTCTTTTTGTAGTAATGTCTCATCTCTGTTAATAAGCCATTATTTGTTTTAACGATAATGCCACTAAGACGTAAATGGTTACTTGGAGTGAAAAATGAGGAAACTTTTTAGTGAGAAGAAAAGGCAATAAAAACATCACCCAGGAAGACAGAAAGATGAAAATTGGCGTTACATTTAAATTTTTGCAGTTTGAAACAGGGAAGCAAGAAATCGGAAGTGAGTTCCACAGGCGCGAAGTGCAGGAAGAGAAACTATCAGAGTAGAACAGGCAGTTGCAGCCAGCTAGTTAAACAGTAAACAGTAGCCAATCTAATAGCATGATTAAATTCATGCAGTCGGAGAACTCAAGGAGGGAAGCTAATCAGAACAGTTACCAAAAAAATATTCGTAGAAAAGACAGAGGGAAGCCACGTCACGTCGGTGCGAAAGTAACTGAAGTTGTGATGTCAGGTTAGGATCGATTTGATTACAAACTCTTCATTGAATTTTTTCAAGACTCTCGAGAATCTGTCTATATTTCTGAGATGAGGTATTATGTACATTATTTACATTATTCGGACTATTGTCCTCATCTTTGTCGCCATATTTATCACAAAGTTTCGGCCGTTGTACGCTCCGGCCTTCTTCAGGTGGTTGGAATTTCGAACTGAACCCTTTATTTCGATCACTGGGGTAGACTGTTCTAGTTCCATGTTTGATGGATGTCAGTTATCTGTTATCTCCTGCTAATTTCCCTCTGAAAGTTCTCCACTGCCTTAACCGGGTATTGAACTCACACCCTTTGGGTCCTGTCACTGGATCTAACCAACGCCTTTATCCGTTGGGATAAATATGGCGACTAATATGAGGACAATAGTCCGAATAATGTAAATAATGGACTCTCGAGAAATATAGTCTTTCTTAAGCTCTCTTTTTGTTTCCGTTAATCTCTATCTCTCTCTCCCTTAATATATATATATATATATATTTGATCGGATTGATGTGAGTTTGTAACCATGGGTTTCACGCTTTTGCGATCGTCAGACAAACTGATTAATTTTTAAAAAATATGGGTTTATGTAAATTGCGTGTATTGGTGTTATTATGGGAGTGGGGGGGAATCGTCAATTTGTCTGACGATCGCAAAAGCGTGAAACCCAGGGTTACAAACTTACATCAATCCAATCAAATATGTTAGCTCTATCTCTGATATTGAGCGCTTTCTAATAAGTACCGCGCATATATAAATAATTATATATATATATATATACACACACACACTTTTTCACACATATATATATATATATATATATATATATATATATATATTTTTTTCATATATATATATATATATATATATATATATATATATATATATATATATATATATATATATATATTTTCTTGGTCGTTCTTTTTATGTTTCACTTGATCTCTATTTTTCTTTCTGTGCCTTCTTGAGGAATACGTATGTTTTTCTTCCAGAATTTCTGAGATGAGAAGTCACAATTTTTTACATTATTTTCAAATATACTAATGTCCTAAACTTCGTTGGTATTATCATGTTTTAGTAGCTGTACTCTCTGGCCTTCGGATCAGATAACCTTCAGGGAATTTTGAACTCAGCTCTTTATTTAATCTCCAAGAACAGAACCTTCTCTTTACACTGTCCATGTCTAGGGATATTTCATTTATTATTAGTTCTGCTAAGTTATTGCTAGCCGTGTTTCTGCTGAGTTTGAATGACATAACAATTGTGAGATCAATTCCTAAACAGGGTTCTACTTTATCATTGGAAACAGGCATAGCAATAAATGAATAGTACAACCAAAAATCTGACGAGATATCCTCAGACATGACAGCAGAAGCAAAATAACCGTAGATTATTAAATAAAATGTTCAGTTCAAAATTCCATTAAGATTACCGGATTTGACCTATACATGAAGAAGGACGGAAGGAATAACAGCTGACACGTTATGATAATAATAACAATGATGAGGATATTAGTTCGACTTGAAGTAATGTAAATAATAAACTTATCTTTTCCATATGCTAATCGAGTTTTTCTTTTAAATTTGATTTTGATTTGTTTGTTTAACGGCATATCAACTCCTTATGGGTCAGTTAATGTCGAAATTTAATTTTATTGTGAGATTTGAAGTAATGCAAATATGTTATTCTTCTGTCACAGTTATATACATGGTAGATGATATTCAACTTTTGTGAATATACATGCTTGTGTACATAATTATTAAAGGCCGTGATATGTGTTTCAAGCTGCAATTTTGTTTTAGTTATATTTTGAGATACAGTTTGATTTCTTTAAGAAATTCTAAGATATTACATGGACTTATGTTATGAGAGCTCTTTCATGTTGATGGGTAGATTTCGTTTCGCGGTATATCAATCTCAATGGATTATTTAATGCCGAAATCTAAATATTTTGAACAATTTTATGGCTTCAATATATTTCAAACGCAATTGCATGACTTCAACTACAGATAAAATGCTTTGTTGGTCATTTTTCTGTAAAATGTACTATTGGTCACTTTACGTTAAAAATGTATTTTTATACTTTCATGATGTTTTACCTTTGTTTGAGGAAGTTCACTATTTGCCCATAGCTGGGAACTTCACAGTTGCCTCCTGGAACCTGAGAACAGCAGCAATTAAGAGGTTGTTCCACGACCCTCAAGACCTCCCGATCTTGCTGCCGGATGTAGATTATCGTCTTACCTAGGGCTATTTCAAATTAGTAGATAATCTAATCCCCAGCATACCGACTCATTACGCCTTCTTGGTCTTTGCTTTTTCTACTGGCAAGCAGTAGAGTGGTTATATTGAATAAATTGCTAGGTCTGCTACGAGGAAAGTTGATTCACTGTGCCATGCCAGGAAATTTCTCTCGTCAGAATCCATCTTAGACATTTATAAATCTACCATTCCGCCGTGCGTTGAATATTGATATGGTATGATGCATCGAGAAACTCCAAAGAAGGATCTGTATTTTATCAGTCCTGACCTGACATCTCAACTTCAGTCACGTCACTGACGTGGCATCCCTTTGGTTTTTCTATAACTATATACATGGCAGTTGTTCTGATGAGTTCTCCTTGGTAGCTAGACCGCACGAATTTAAACGTACTACTAGATTGGCTATTAGGTCCCATTTATTTTTTTCTGTTGAAATAGCTATAAATAACCGTAAGTTGTATTCTAATACTTCTTTTCTCGCACTTTACGCATGTGGGACTAGTTTCCAATTTTTTACTTCAAGGTCCCTTACAGTTTTCAAATTTTAAATGCAACATCAATCGCTATCATCTGTCTTCCTGTAATCCGTTCTTTTATTGTCCTTTCTCTTCACTTTTCATTCTCTTTCTTTCCCATTACCCCCCCCCCCCGGGGTTTTATGTCATTATCGCTTTGCTCGGAGGTGTAATGATTTAAAAAAAAAATAACTCTCGTACAAGATCAACTGGACGGAGAGAAGAGGAAATACACGGCCAACTGACCTAGCCATGAGGCAGACGGTTTCCTTTCTGCTCTTATAATATCGTTAAAGATAATCTTCACATCTGATATTTGAAACACTCTTCTCCTCTGTCTCTCTTTGTGACGTTGCTCTAAAGTTCTCTTCGTTTATGCAGGGCCGAATTGGGCTCGAAATGCGTTAAAGCGCGTCTTCCAAAGGTGGTGGGGGGTAGGTAAGGGGGGATGGATGGAACAGACTGTCTCAAAAGCAAGCAATCGAAAGCCTGTCTTTACTTTGGATCAAAAATCAAACTTTGATACCAGTGCGAAATCCTCAGTTACATTAGCTACAAAGAAATCACCCGTTTATTACATAAACACACACACACACACACACACACACACACACACACACACGCACACACACGCACATAGGCACTCACACGCGCACACACACACACATAGGCACACACGCACGCACGCACACACATAGGCACACACGCACGCACGCACACACACGCGCACACATACACACAAACACAGGCACACACACACACACACACACACACACACACACACACACACACACACACACACGCATACATGCACAAACACATCATTCTCTCTCTCTCTCTCCCTCTCTCACTCTTTCTCTCTCTCTCTTCTGGGAATCGAAAATGTCTATTTTCTATGGTCTTTTACTGTCTTTCATTTTGTATTAACCTCATCATTTTTATTTCGTCCTCTTTATCTCCCCCACCCCCATTCCAAACAATACAATTCTCTTTCTCTCTTTTTATATTTTTGTTTTATTTATCTACCCTATTCCTTTCTCGTCTGGTTATCAACCTTGCCTCATATGACTGACTTTTTTCTTTCATTCCGACTTTGTTTTTTCTTTCTTTCTTTTTTCTTTCTTTTTTCTTTCTTTCTTTCTTTCTTTCTTTCTTTCTTTCTAATTCTCTTTCATATTTCAGTCTTTTCATATATTTCTTTCTTTCGTTATTGTTATTTCATTTTCCTTGTTTTTACATGTAATTTTCTTTCCAATTCATTTACCTTATCCTTTCTTTCTTTTTCTTTCTTTATCCGTCTTTTCATATTTCTCTCCGTTCATATCTTTCAATCCTTTTGTCTTTCTTTCTTAGTCTTTTCATATCTTTTTTTTCTCTTCACATCTGTCCCATTCTCTTCCTTTCTATCAAATTTTGTTCATATCTATCTATCTATCTATCTATCTATCTATCTATCTATCTATCTATCTATCTATCTATGAACGTATCAACGTATTATTTATGTCAAAATAATATTTTCATGTTTGTAGTTTGTTTATATCTACGATTGTAGGTGTATGTGTTTGCGTGTGTGTGTGTGTATGTGTGTGTGTGTGTGTGTGTGTGTGTGTGTGTGTGTGTATGTGTGTGTGTGTGTACATATATGCCTGCGTGTTACTTTCGTTTCTCCTACTCCTTTTTATTATTTCCAATCCGTTTTTTCAAAATTACTTTTTTCTCGTAATCAAAGTCTAAGAATTTTTTTTTCGTGAATATTTGTCTTCTTTTTTTTTTATTTCTTCCTTCTGTTCACTACCCCTACCTCCTCCTCATTTGTCCGTACAGACGATAGCATAGAACACAGCGACACACAGAAACCACCACGACCGATTTACACAGACACACATACACACACGGACACACAATTCTAGTCCTCTCATCTTTCTTTCTAAGTCTTTGATCTTTGCCTTCATCTTTTTTAGTCTCTTGCTCGGTCCTCCTCCTTTTCCTCTGTTTTCCTCTCTATCTCTATCTCTCACTCTCTCTCTCTTTCTTTCTGTATATATATATATATATATATATATATATACAGAAAGAAAGTGAGTGAGTGTGTGAGTGTGTGTGTGTGTGCGTGAGAGTGTATGTGTGTGTGTTTATCTTTCTGTATGTCTCATTTTGTCACTGTGATTCGAAGCAGAATGCTGGGGTAAGGAGGTGTGGCAGTGGGTGATGGAAGGTAGAGAATGGAAAAGGTTCTTGTAGTGTTCTAAACTTAGCGTTTGATGTTTATTTCTTTGGAGCGTCTTTTCTCTTAACAATTCTGGGAAATGTGTTTCATCTCTCGGGGCTTCGAAGCGTTCCTTTCTTAAAATTCGGCCTCCTTCGTCTTCTTTCGTCCTCCTATTCCTATTGCTTTTTTAGTCCTTCACACTTTCTTTCTTCCTTTCATTTATATATATATATATATATATATATATGTGTGTGTGGGGTGGATGTGTGTATTATGAGTTCACGTGTGCGTTTGTACACACACATACACAAACACACAGACATATCTATCTATCTATGAATCTATCTATCTATTTATCAATCTCACTCTCTCTCTCTCACTCTCTATCTATCTATCTATCTATCTATCTATCTATCTATCTATATATATATATATATATATATATATATATATATATGTGTGTGTGTGTGTGTGTGTGTGTGTGTGTGCGTGTGTGCGTGTGATTGAGTGTTTGGAAATATTTTTTCTATCATCGATTTTCATCGATCTGTCTGATTCAGTGATTCTATCAATCGATCTGTACATCTGTGTTTTGAATAGTGAGATAGATAAAAAATCGAAATTCACAGATATATAAATCGACAGGGACGTTCTTGTTGAAAGCATTTTTATATATATATATATATATATATATATATATATATATATATATATATATATATATATATATATATATATATATATATATATATAATCGGCTTCTTTCTTGACGTTATAACTTATTTTTTGTAAGTTGGTGTCTTGTTTGATTTTCGTCATTCTGTCAAATTCGTTAGGATCTTCACTCTTTCAGCTTGCAACATTTTTTTTACCCGCTCTCTTTTATCTCGTTATCACTATATATATATATATGTGTGTGTGTGTGTGTGTGTATGTGTGTGTGTGTGTGTGTGTGCGTGCGGGAATCTGTGTCTATGTGTATGTAAGTACATAAGTGAAAATGTAGAAATATTTATTATCGTTTATCAAAGCTAACTTCAGATAATATTACGAAAAAAGAAAGGAAAAAGACGATCAAAGACTTGCTTTGAAAATCAGGATTTTGCATCTGGGATCGAACAAAGACTTCCATCTTAGATATATTTCCGTATGTTAAATGTTGGTGGTTGACACGAGTTAAACGGGAATTTCTCTCTTATTTTTTATCTAATCTCGCTCTCTCTCTCTCTCTCTTTTTCTCTCCCGCTATATATATATATATATATATATATATATATATATATATATATATATATGGGCTAATAATCGGTTAAGGCATGAAACTGAGAGCCACTATGTAATGTTGGTTTCTGTGTGTTCACAGACAGATAGCTAGCTAGCTACATAGATAATGAACAGTCTGAGATAGATAGATAGATAGATAGATAGATAGATTAGATAGATTGTGAGCAAAGAATCAACATCGGAGGATGAATGTCAATTTTGCCTGAAAATATCCTCACATCATATGTTATATACATATATATAAATACTTTTCTTTCTTTCTTTCTTTCTTTCTTTCTTTCTTTCATTCTTTCTTATGGAAACAGCCAGAAATAAAGAAACTATAAGCAAGGCCAGAGTATTCGTTAAGGCATGAAACTGCCAATTACATAGAAATCAACACTGCATACTGATTAGAAATTCATATATATATATATATATATATATATATATATATATATATATATATATATATATATATATATATATATATAACATTAAAGACAAAACAATTAATCAACAGTCCAGAAATGTATTATTAAAATGGTACTGGTTAATTCTAGTTAATGCTATGGAATTAATAGTACATTAATTACCGATACTGTTCGAACTGCAAACCACTTGCTTCAAAGCTTTGCTTTTTTCTCATAAGTAACTCTATAGTGACTTTATTGTCACCCTGTATATATTGGGAAGAGAGTGATATTTTATAATTATGGCGTAAAACCTGAAACTGGCATAGATAGATAGATAGATAGATAGATAGATAGATAGATAGATAGATAGATAGATAGATAGATTGTGGACAAAGACATCTACACTACATGGTGACTGGCACATTTAAACTTTGAGCTGTCATCGAAGATATTTTACAAGGTGCGATAGAGATACCTCCCACATATCCCGTCTAACAATACCTCCAACATAATGATAACATTACCTCGACGAAGACATCATTACCACTAACCACTTAGCATTATGTGAAAAGTATTTCTGTGAATTATATGGGGAAGGTATTTGTGCCGCATCCTGAATATACATACATGTATATTCCTGGTAAACGGAGATGTAAATATTTCAAATAGAGAGTGCGTGGCTGCCCTGAAAATCATCAATCCTAATCTTGGTTTTTATCTATAATGGGACACTGACCACTGGTACTACCAGGAAGTTCGTAACTACCTCAGCCATTAAGTACACTTCCTTTTCTTTGATTTCATATCTTTTCTTTTCGGTGTCTTCTCTCTTTCGTTCTGGTTTCATTTCAAGAATTTATTCTTTTTTATCTTTTTGTTTTCAACAGATTTTTCTTACCATCTCTCCTTCCGTTTCCTTTGCAGTCTTGCCTCATTTCTTCCCGCCAACAATTTTTCATGCCCGCCATTATCTCTATCCATCAGTCTATACATCATTCTATCGACTTGATTCCTTTTCACTGATTTTAGTTCTGAGCGTTTGATGTTTTAATTCCCTCTTATTTTTGTTCAAATTCGAAATACTTTTTACTTATTTTCAGAAGGAAAAAAATATTTTCTTTTTTTTTTTTCGATATCTATTTGCTCAACATTTCTTTTATTCCCGTCAAAGTCGGCATGATAACGGGGGTGGTGAGGTAAATAGGAGGCCAGTGGGTAGGGATTGGAGGGCGGGTAGGTGAGACTGAGTTTTCCATTCTGTCTCCGTCATTTCCTTTCATCATATTCTACCCGCATCCAAATGGGTACCCGCACCCCGCGTACACCGCCCCCTACTTACCAAATCCTCACAACCACCCACCGCTCATTATTTCTTATAGTTTCATCTGCCATCTTGCGTTCAGATATTCCATCTGACGAAATGAGCGCACATTTTATCACATCTACCTTTTCTCCTCAGCATCTCTTTCTCCACTCTTTATATACTTTTTGCCCCACTTTTCTCTCTCTCTCTCACTCACTCACACTCACTCAGTCTTTTATGCTCCATATTAAATGTATTTTTCATATACATTCTTTGTCTTTCTTTTTCATTTTTCATTGGATTTTCCTTGATTTTTCTTATTCTTTCTTTCTTTCTTTCTTTCTTTCCATTTCGTTCTTCCTTTTTTCATTTTAACCTCTTTTTCATTTTCCTTCTTCTTCTTTCTTTCTTTTTTCTTTCTTTCCAATTGATCCCTTTAACTTTCTTTCCGTTTCATTTTCCTTATTCGTTCTTTCTTTTTTCTTTCTTTCTTTTTGCTTTCTTTCTTCCCTTTTTTTTAGCTTTCTTTTATTTCGTTTTCCTTGTTCTTTCTTTCTTCTTTTTTCTGTTTCATCCTTTTTTGAATTTTCTTTTAACTTTCTTTCCATTTCTTTCCCATTTTTCTTTCTTTCTTACTTTTTTCTTTCTTTCTTTCCACTTCACCCTCCCCTGTGTTTCTTTCTCTCCTCCTTTCTTTTATTCTTTCTCTATTCTGTTTTTTCACCTTCATTAAATTGCATGCTGTATCCGTCTTCGACCAATATCGCTTTTCAAGAGTTGGTATATAATCTATTTTCCTTTCCTTCTCTTCCTCCTCCTCCTCATCTCTCTCTCTCTCTCTCTCTCTCTCTCTCTCTCTCTCTATCTATCTATCTATCTATCTATCTATCTATCTCGTGCTCTCTTTCTATACTCTTTCATTTCATCATGTTCTATCTTACTCTCGCTTGCCCACTTGCTAATCCCCCATTTTCTCTCTCAATCTCTCTCTCTTTCTCTATCTCTTTCTCTATCTCCTTCCATCTCTCTCTTTCTCATTTCCATATGCTGTCTTACACTCTCACAGTCACTTTTGCTTACATCCTAATGCACATGAGCCATGCTAATCACTCTTTCTATCATACGCTATTATCCCTCTCTCAGCTCACCCTTACTATCTCATGTTTATTTGCTATTGCCCTCTCTCTCTTTCTCTCTTTACACTCTCATGCATTTTTCACGTTCGCACTTATTCTCACACAATCACTTTCTATGTCTGTCTGTATATTAAATCTTAACCACATCCCAAATCACTTTCGATTTTTGAATATATATATATTTTTTTGAATATATATATATATATATATACTAGCTGAAAAAACCGCCATATTTAAAGCATTTAAGTTAACTTTTCCTGACAATAGGTAGGGAGGAGTAGATGCGATAGTCAACAATAAACTACAGAAGAACTCGAAATTGATTGATGCATTTAAGTATTGCATTAATATTTAAGCTT